ACTCTTTCAGTCATCCAGAAGACGCTTGTTGAGTGCTTGAAACTTGGCTAGACTGTCCAAACTCTCACCATTTGTCCTTTCAGAAATAACATTACAGCATTTTATTCAAAACAAGTCAAACAAGACATGAAAACACCTTGACACTAAAGTAAATGTTAAGTATTTAAAATAAGAATTGTAAAAATAACATCTATATCTCTGTGGAGCATCATAGCTCTTGACTATCATCAAGAAAACTCCCCCTGGAAATAGACAGGCTATAAAATATCCATTAAGTCAATTATACAGTTCTATGCTGAATGTCACAGCAGCAGAATGGTGAAGTATTGCCTGAAAAAAAAAATCCTAAAAGTATTTATTTAAGCAGATTTTTAAAATTTCATTTGTTTCTATTGATTTTAATATTTTCATTTTACTCTCAGCATGGCGGGTGGGTACCACAGCACAAACACAATATTCAAGTAACATAAAAATCTTTCAAAGTGACCAAAGTACATGTGCACTTTTAACTCCCTTTAAAAACCTAGGAAGTCTGATAGAAGGAGAACTCTAATACATGAGAATAAATATGCATACATGAAAAAGACAAGAAGAGTTTCCTAAATAGTGGTCACCTCATAAACACAGGTTACATATGAGGGATTGAGCATGGTAGTCAAGGTCCTTCTGGTTTGAAACTTGGTGTGTGTGTATCTCTGCATATATATTACTGCTGTCAGCCTAGGATAAATATACATGGGTCTTTTTGGAAAAAAACTAGGATAATTTTCTGACATCAGCAAAGGTACATAGAAAAATTCAGTCCAAGTCTTGCAGTAATCATGTTCTCAGATGGCAGCCAGTGCACTGATACAATTTTGGGAAGAAACTTTGCACCTATAGTAAGAAGAAAAGTCAAATTCAACTCCAAAGACAGGGGGAAGATCCAACAAGAGTCAACTCACAGCCATGAAAAAGTTTGGGCTGCATGCTTAATACACAGGAGGTATACTGAGTACACTTTAGAACACTGTACATTAGTTGCATTAAGTTCTTGACTCAATAGCAAAAAGCTTAATTGAATATGCAGCCTACAGTTAGTTGTGCTGGGAGCTGAATGATGCAGAACCACCCTTGGTGTAAATGCCCTGTCCCGATAGGGCCTTTTTCACCCAGGATCTCTGTTCAGAACACCTATTCTGCTGCATCTCAAGGACTGTAAAGAGACTGCCTCTAATACAACCTTTGGCAACAGTACAGAAGATGAAGCTATGACTAGAAGGTAGCCTGTGGACCAGGCTGATCCATCCTGTCTGCCCTTCTGTTTGAGTGTTAATCAAGGTCCAAGATCAGTGGAGGCTAGAACCAAAATGTTCAAAAGCACCCAGAGTCTTTCATTGCACTGGCTCCAAAACCCACATGGCAACAAAAGCCAGTTCCAGTCTTTCTGGCTGCCTTTTTTCTAGATAACATTTCTAAAATCTTTCATGAGTAAAAACATCCAGCAAACACTCATTGAATGCTTAGAACATTAAACTCACAAGGTGATATTTTGTTTCTGAAGTATCTACCAGTGTTATTTAAAAAGGTGTTTGTAACTCAGAAAAGAATAAACGGTATTATTTTACTGGATTTGAAAAGTCTTTTATTCTATACAAACAGGGCAAGTTACTTAAAATAGCCCAACCTTACAAATTAATGTAAGCTTCTGTTTATATTGTATATCAAAGCAAAGCTAACTTTTATTTTAGCAGCATTCCTAATACATAAAGAGCATTCTTACTAACTAAAGATTTAGTTTAACTAAATGTTTAACTAATGTTCAACTAATACCAAGGTATTAGTACCAACTATAGTGAGATACATATCTGTAAGCCTGGCATTGCTCTCATTGTTTCAGAGAGAGATAATGAAAGTCAAGGGTAAATAATCCACATGATAACTATGCTCCAAAATGTAATTAACAGAAGATAATTAAGTACAGCTTGAAGCATACCAAGATTGCAGAAATACATGTATACTAAGGGTTGTAAACATATATAATGAACCCTGAGATTAACGTTTCATCTTCCTTAGAATTTCATAAATACCCTAATAATTGTTTCAAATGTCATAAAAAACAATCTTCTTTGCCTCTCAATATTCTTCCTTTACCGTGTATCCTATAAACTCAAAAAGTACTGTATTAAAATTGTGTTAAAGTACTATTTAGCTATTGTCTATACAGAGGACCTGTTTTTTTTCCCTCATGTGTAAACAATTACAGCTACTATACTCTCTGCTGAACTTCAATTAGCAAAAATCCTATCAATTTTAAAGGCTGAACAGTTAAGAGTGAACAATTTTTGAAGACTGGTGATTGAATTTTTCTAATTTAGGAAGCAGGAACATGATAGCAGCTGCCTTGAAATGCAAGCAATACCAAGTAAATTAGAAAAAAAAAATCACTTTTAGCTGAATAGAAAGGAATCTCATATTATATTTTGGTAAAAGAGAAAGCAATCCACCTAGGTAGTATAATGGGATCAAATTTCTCTGCAGATAACTGAACAAAATCCTTGAGAATACACTGTAGTAATTCTGCATTAGCAAAGAATGGTCACAGTGACCTAATAGGACACAATGACCTAATGAAGGTTTTACATTTCTGTTTAAAAAATAATCTGTGACAAAATTAGGTACTAAACCAAACAAGATTCAGTCATGAGTTAATACAGTGCTTGTATTATTTTTAGTCCTTTAATTCAACAGCTGGCATTATTTAGTTCAGGAGAAATCAGAATTTTCTTTCCAATATGATGATTTGGAACAGTTATTGTACGACAAGCACAGGATAATGTTTCTTTTTCACTAACGCATAAGTAGGGCTAAGACAAAGCCCAAAATCATTTTGTTCTAAGTAAATTTCAGTTCTGTATGTTGATAGGCATATTGATTTAATTCCTTGGTACAAAACTTTTCCATAAAAAAGATAAAAGCTTATTTAATTTTATTTTCTAGCAGTACTGCAGTTTCAAGCTAGTTCAAAGCTGCTCTACAAATAATGTAAATCAGTGTAAGAATATGACAGTTTCCATTCTTTTAATCAATAAGCTGTCACACACACACAAGAAATGCTGCCAAAACATGCTGTTGATAATTTAACATTTTTCAGCTATTAAAACCAGCCTGAATCATGCATTCACCCATTATCTTCAACATCTTTACTCATGCTCTCTCCTATGGTACAGTATCTCAGTTTTGAGAGGTTTCTTATTTTCTTATTTTTTTTGTTGCTGTTGTTTGTGTTTGGTATTTTTTAAATACAGTTTTGTATAAATCTTAAAAAAAAAATATAACAGCTCTCTTGAATTTCTTTGGCTTCAGACTTGGTCTGATTATCCACTGAAGCAACATTATTTTAAAAGTCCCAGTACAGTTTCTAAGAAAGACTGTATACTATGCAGTTCATTCTCACTGCTGAACTGATTTTTCACTTTATATTCATATTACTCACATTCATATCACCCTCAAATCCTCAGGCTACCCAGTGATCATGCAATCATGCACCACAAATCAAGGTTCTTAAAAGGCAAACCAAAATCCTACCTTTATGTAGCCCCACGAAACTGAGAGTAAATAGTTTGCCTCGGGCATGTTTGATTTTTATTTGTTTTGCTCTATTACCAATCTCAGCTAGTCAGTTTTTTTGCTATCAGACACTGCAAAAGACTTCCAAGAAGAAAGATTCCTTCTTTTCTCTCCTAATTCTTTTTGCTGATCTTCAGGTTCTCAGCAACTGTGTGCAGAGGAGGCATACTGACCGCGTGGTCTTCCAATTGTATAAATGCCATTTGTAAAACTCCAAGCATTCAGAGGCAATACTGAAGAGACATATTGTACGAGCAGAAGAAATATCTGAAGAGCTAGGGATATGCATATTTCCTGAACACCAGGACTTAATGAATAATGTATGTCAAGATGCTCAGCTGCTGGAAAGACTTGCTCTGTCAACAGCAACCAAATAAGGACAGAGGGGAAGACACAAACATTGCCAGTAATCCCTCCCATAGAGCCTAACTAGCAGCCAATAGCACATCACCCGAAAAGATATAAATCCGAGGGGCTGGTAACATGATGTACAGTTATTTCCCATTGGCCAGTGCCAGGGACTCTCCTGAGCATGGGTTCTTTTTTTCACAGTAAATGCCATTTAATAATGGCATTGCTGCCTGCAGCATTCATGTGCCATTCAAAAATAATTGGGTTAAATTCTCCTCATTTCAACACATTTACTAGCTCCCTTCAATGGATATGCCATCCAAGCAGATTAGTATTGTGTATAGTCATGTGGATTGCCTAGTCATTTTAACTTTTCATTAGAAAGGGGAGTATATTTGGAGGATTTTGTGAAGCAAAAGAAATAGAGGTATCAGGTTTCTTGAGCAGTCTGTACTATACAATGAAAACATTTTTGGCTTTTATGCCATCTAGGTTAAAAACTTGCTATTTAGACCATTGGGCCAAGTCTGTCAGTTTTTTCTGTTTTTTATTTTAAGAGAGAAAAGAAGTATTATTAAGATAAAGAAAATAATGTCTTACAATTCTCAGTAAACGTTAAGTTTCCATGGAGAAGTTAGAAGTGACATAATAAGAATCTTCAAATTCTCAGTGTATTTATTCAACTTCTGCTCCTTCTGCCTTAGCAGATTAATATAATCAATTACAGCTACACGTATCAGGAAAAATAAATAAACAATTGAAAGTGGAGTGTGTCAGTGAGCTGATTCAGAGCGTTAGATGAAATGTCCCATCATCTGCCATTCAAGAGACCAAAACTCAAAAGAAGGAATGCATTATCTTCCACCACTCTGTGCAAAGCATACGCAATACTGTGGCAAACCTTTGTTGTATCAAAAGAAGGGAGAGTTTCCCCCTATGACCGCGGGCAAGTCTCTAAGGCCAAGCTAATGATGTGCAGCATTCAGACTAAGCCCACACTGCCGGTTCACTAGAACCGACCGTGATGACCGATAACGGTCATCAAGGAGATTTTGGTTTAAGTTGTGTCTGTTTCTCTGGGTGATGCTACACAGCAATGTCAGCAACACTAAGTGCTTGAGAAAGAATTGAAGTTACAAAAATCAATAGGGCAAAATGTGATATAAGCAAATTTTTTTCCCT